GAGAGAGAGAGAGAGAGGTCAAAACTGAGACCTAAGCATCAAGCACCTACCCAAGAGGGGGGAAAGGGAAAAACAACTGGGTAAGATTAATCACTTAAGTAAGTATGAGCTCCGGACCTATTAGTTATTGCTTCATATAGATGCTGAGCATCAATGTAATCACAAGCGTCTGAGCCGGACCACTTTTCCATAGCTAAGGAAGGCCTCTTTCGGTTGGTCTGTGGTCTATAATTACATTCATATTCATATATCTAATATGTGTTGCCTTTTTCTCATCTCCCCTCCCCTGCTCATTTGCTATTGGATGTTCTTGCTTTGTGATGTGGGGCTTTCTGTCCAGGATGGTTATGTCTATGATTTGGTGAAGACATCCTATGTAACCATGCAATCTTTTGCCAAGCTTTTGGAACTTTCAGTGTTTAAAAAATTATTTTTTTTGTAGGCACAGAAGATTTAATTGTCAGGAAACATATTCCATTGTGACCTGTACTAATAGACTTTGCTGTGCATGTGACTGTGTGTGTACAGGGGGGTATTTGGAAGAAGTTTTAAATGGAAAATAAAAAGAGGAAAGAAACAGCAGCTGCAAATTCAACTTGTGTAAAATACAGCTGAAGGAATCTGGGCTTTACGCAAAAAAGAAAGAAAACTTTACCTTGCCTTTTCACTTCACAATAACAAAAATAGTTGTCTATAGTTCTCTTGTCAGGAAAACACTACATTTTACCATGAAGTTCTCTCATGGTAAAGGTTTCATAGAACCTTTATCATTTCTTTTCCTTGTAAAAAAAATTCTTACTATTGCCTTTCCTCTAAGTGTTTTAAACGTATTACATCCTTGGTTTGGGGTTTTGGGCAGAAATGATTAGCACCATTATAAGTAATGTTAAGAAGTACCTAAACTGAATATCAGTGTCCTCTGTTCCAGATACTATTATGCTTCTGTTACATGAGAAAGTTGTACATTTTAATCAGAAATTAATGGCATGTGGCATATATATGATGCAGTTGATAAGGAAAATGGAGGGCCCATGTTTAAAATTAAATCCTATCGTGTATGCTGAATGTGTCAGAGACCTATTGGATGCACTGCAGCTGACTTCCCAAGTTGCTGTCGTTAAGTGTCTCTGCTCCTGCTTCTGAACACCGTGTATGGTGCAACTCTGACTGTACAGAAAGTACTGTTGATTCCGCAGGGGTGTGGCGTCACCTGGATGGCCACTCTGTTTGCCCATGCTCTCTTTTGCCCTATCTTGTTCATCTCCAACATGGGGCCTGCTCACGTTGTCCAGGAGGAAGTGTCTTCTGCTATCAACAACATCTTCATGTTCTGGCTAAACATTTTTCCTCTGCCTGTATTATCTGCCAGCTACATAATATTGGACTTCTTAAGGACATTTTTTGCCCCACTTTGGTGACCCTATCTATTTAGGAAGTGATAGGGGTACTCACTTTGCAACTCATATAGTTAAAGAGATATGCAAAGAAACTAACCTGAAGTGGCCAGATTGTCTTCCACTGGCCTGGATGTCTATGAGAATGACACCCTCAAAAAAAAAACAACCCTACAGCCCTCTCCCCTCATGAAATAATAATGGGACGCCGCATGCAGATGCCTGCTTCTCCCCCATCCATGGGTCAGTTGGCGGATATCCATGCTTTGGACAGTATGTTATGCTCTCATTGTCATCCTTAAGTCCTGTCATTCACAGGTTGTGGCTGCTCTTCCCAAAGAGACTCCACACCCTTAGTGCCTGGCGACTGGTCAAGGTATTTCACTTTGTTTGACTTCTCGTTGGAAGGGCCCGTTCCAGATCCTGCTGACTACCAACATGGTTGTAAAGTGTCAAGGCCTGCCTTAGTGGGTGTACACATCGCACTGTAAGAAGGTACCTGTCCCCAACGAGAAAGCTTGACCAACTTCAGAAAGCTACAAGGCAAAGATTGAAACTTTGTCCAACAGGGAGGCAAGTGCTAGTAACCTCTGCCCCCCCGATCACTTTATAACCTTTGCCCGAGACCACAATGGAGCAGCTGAATGTCATCTCTATCCACCATCATTGAATAACCTGTGCCAGAGCTATGGAAGCACAATGCCATTTGCAAGCAACTGCCTGCATAAGAAAAAGCCTGATGCCCGCAGTATGGACAATAGTTGTGTTGCCTTTGCCTAGTAGCTCTTTACATTTTTATGGGGCATTACAACCTATAGGACGACAAACCAAGGCCAATGAGGCACCTGCTTTGCCTGAGCAACCTAGCGCACCCCGATTGTCATAACCAAGCATCCCCACTGCACAAGCCAAGGGCAGTTGTACAAAAGCCCCCAACTGATGATCTCACTAAAATATATATACTTATTTGAACCTGGTTGAATCCTATCAAGCTGAACATGCCACACATAAATTAACTGAATGTTGAATTTGTAATTATTCTAGGGAAGTGATAACATCTGTTTGCAACATCAATGGCAAAAGCAGTACCATGTACACCCAGAAAGCGGCTAGTAGCCTTCTTCAACTTATGCCGGAAAAGTTTATCCCCCCTGCAATGCATGACAATTACTACTCATACCACAAGGGAAGACCACATAGTTCTTCTTTGCCAGAGGTCAGTAGAGTGCCCTCGGCATGGTTCACTGGCTCTCAGATCTCTGGGCTGTCCTTTTCTGCTAAGGGGTATCGGACTTCATCTATTGCATCCATGACCCCTAGTGATTGTGGCTATACCACAGTGGGAAAGGGCGCTAGTCTCCAGAAAAATTAGAAACAGCTCCCCTGCTGTATTGCTACTCTTAAACTAACCTGCTGCTGTAACACTACAGAATTAAAGCAGATTTCTCCTTCATCTTATATGAAGGATGCATATTTAACTCACATAATGATTGTAAGCTGCAGCATGTTTAGTCTTTATCGCTTTAGTGTTGTCCTCAAGGACAAAAATGAGCGACTGTGAGAGGAAGACAACTAGGCCCTAAAGTTGATGTAGGCCTCTGCTTAATTGAAGGCCTCAAATTAACAATATATAATAATGCTGGCTGAGCTGATTTTGCAAGCATGGTGAAATATTTGCAATCTGCTAGGCTGATTTGCAGGAACAGCAATATGCTTTTCTGCAAAAAGCAGATATTTACTGGACAATCAAAAATAAGAACTATTTTGGATCATGAATGTCTGGGACATTGAGAAAAAGGGGAACTGAAAGTAGCAGATAGTGAGCAGTTGCGAAAGAGTTGGCATGAGTGGCTATTAAATGATGGACAGTATGTGGGAATAGGGAAATACACCCAGCAAGATTACATACCACTGGATGGGCTTCAGAGGAAGAAGAGTATAAAAGAAGAGGGTAAATCTCAAATCAGGGCCACTGATAGTAGCTATCCTTTCTGGACTTAGCTATTATCTCTGGACCTCATTGCAATGGGTTGTTTGTAAGTATTATCTTACTAGAAATGTTGTTAAGTTATGATGGCTTTTATGTTCCAAATTGCTCATGAAATAAACCTCTGATCTCAAAGTAAGACTTTATTGCCTGTGGTTTTGTCTGTGTATTTCCTTTACTAAATTATTTTTATAACACAAGTAAAACACATTTTGGCTTAGCACAAGGCATAGACTTAGGCAATATGTGGGATGATTTAGTGAGATATCCATAAGCCTAGCTAAACCAGCAGTTATCCCAGTCAAGGGAAGGAAAATACAAAAATCCTTCACCTTATGAATTCAACTCTGTATTTGCTGAAATATTCAACCCTAAGACATGTGAACAGTCCTTAGCTATCTCATGTGGTCCACCAATCTCTTCCTATTACCTGGACAATGGGAGACCAATTTTCATCATGATTGCTAGAGGTGATGTGAAGATTCCCACAGTCAGCAATTCTGATCAAAAATACTGAGTGATGAGAATTGATATCCTGAGCCCATTCACCGATATAACTTCAAAGAATTATACTTGAAACCAAGGCAGACTCCCCTCCAAAAAAAGTGGGGCAAAAGACATGAAGTTCATCCAGAAAGCTGCTTTGCTAAGCATGTTTCTTCTCAGCTGGTAAGGAAATAATGTAAGTGTAAATTGCACTGTCCTTACAGTATGCCCTGAAGATGCATGCAGAGCAGGTTTGTGGTATGTGATTGTCCATGGAGCTCCAATCACCAACATCAAGGAAATCATTATAATACAAAAATGTTAATTCTATATCTTAATTATATCCAAAAGGTTGACAAACGTTTACCGCAATTCAATCAAGAACCACTTGGGATTAAATTCTACTAAATTTGGAAGATGTGGTTCTGTGTAGATTTATTTCAGAGCAAGCTATGCCTATCTGTACTGAAATAGTATAGTTCTATAGAAAAATAAGTGAAGATTATTGATTTTTATTTGATGTCCAATTTGTATTAAATACATTCCTTAAAGCACACTATAAAAATATATAAATCATTAGTAGAATCTGGGTAAACTACAAATATGTATCACATTATATATTAAATTGTATCAATTGAGCAAGTTGTCAAAATACTGTGGAAATTAAGAGCTATAAAACTTCAAAATATGCAAAACACATATAACTAGAAATGTCTAACAAAATCACTCTCAAATTTGGTCAAACTATAATTATTACGCATTTTTTTAAAAAATTCAAAGATCATTATATATACTCATGAAGATTTAATAATCCAAAAGAGAAAATAAAACTAATCAATTGATTTTGTTCATTTAAGTTGCTTTGACAATTATATTTATATTTTTTCAGCTAAACTTCAAAAACTAATTTAACATATTTTCAAACTACAACTTTAGTTCTAATTTAATTTGAATATATGGCCATGTATTATTTTTATCACAAGGTATTTTGAGTATTCACTGGATTATATTTGCACTATCATTCTATTGTTAATATACTTTCTAGTTTTTCATATTCTCCTGAGAAATAGATTTTTGCCACACTGTAAAATAATTAAATTTCCTCCTTATCCATCCATGCTTTTTCCATTAGACATAGTCATTTTTTCTGATTGGCAAGTCAGGATTAGTCAATGAGGGTTACCAAGCTAAACATATCATCTTAACAAAAAGGAAAGAGCCACCAAATTAAAGCTACTTTCACCAACAAAAATAGAAGCAAAGTGAGACAACACAAATAATAAACATTGGCAGAAGGCTTCAAAGCTTACTAAGTATTAACAATAGCTAGCGATTTTGGCTCTCAGGATGACCCAACCCCTAGCTTAATGTCAATTCAACAGAGCCAGAGCCTTCATGCGAAGCAGAGGTTCTACTCCTTATGTAATTCTCAGATACTGTGGCCACAGCCACAGTCTACATAGCAATGGAGCCTTCACGAAAGGTTGTTTTCCCAATCAATGCATTGAGAAGGACGGGCTGTCCATTCCTGCATTTGGATTGTGCTGTCCGGATGATGTCATCCATTTGGTCCTCATTCTGGCGTGTGAGCAACAAACCTTTTCCTCCTAAACCTTCCACCACCACATGGTAATCTGCAAAGAAAAAATCATCACTCATCAATATGGGAGAAAGCATGTGTTGTGCAAATCCCACAGGGAAATGTCTAAGAATTTAGATTGGGAACCAAGTTGACAACAGCTCCTTCCTTAACAAGTTTTGCTACTGCAGGTCAGCTTTAAGTATCTAGCCACAATAACATAATAACATCTAACTTTTATTAGAGGTTTTAAGCATTGCATAAAGAAAGGGATGGAGAAAGGACTTGTGCTTTTTTTTTTTAAAAAAAAGACACAATACATGATATACAAGGGGGTGAGTAAGTTGTAGTCATCACTTATTGTGTCAGATCCGTGTATCTGCCATTCTTTAATGGAAGAAGAAGGTGGGGGGGGAGTTGGTACAAGTAATCCTTTTTGATGTAACCTGAATAACTTAAGTCTTGTATTTAATCTGTATAACTTGCACATAATATACAACTAGGGACTGGAGCCCAGATGCCTGGAAACTTGTCACCTCTTGGAGAGATAGCAAGAGGAGAAGGAGCCATAAAAATTCCAGCTCCGAAAGAAACTTCCTGGGAAACTTCTCAACTACGATCCCAGAAAAGGGTGTGGGAATCAACATGTTTCTTTGTATTGACGAAATCCACATCAGACTAAGGGGAGGGGTTCTAACTCCCTTTATCTATGCTGTATGCCTGGAGGCATATTAGACCCTGCTTTGACTAGTACCTGGATAACTTCCTTCCAATAATTCCTTTTGAAATACCCAGCTTTCAGAAGTTCGTTCTTATCATTTGAAGGGGAGAGAGTCTGGGCCTTACATAAAGAAGGATTTGCAATATTGGTCAACCTGGAGAGGAAAAAAAAATCTCCTTCCAAAAAAGAACTTCACTCTACTGAGGGGACCCTGCAAAAATGTCTGAACATAGCAAAGGAGCAAAGGGAAGCCGAATGCTGGGAAGAAACTTCGACAACTACCCAGCCAGACACTGGCTTTGTATATCCCATCAAAGACATCAAAGTTGCCTGCAAAAATTCCCCAAAGTCCCGATGGTCTATAGGCATAGAAAAGAGAGACAGCTGGAATGGAAGAACCAAGTGAATAATCCTCACCCATGGTAGCCATAAACCCAGATGGAAAATGGAGCTGGAGGCCCTTTCTGATCAGGAAGAATGGGTTGAGGACCCACTGGCAGATGACTGACTGAAACGGTACAGAAAGCGTCTCGTGGGGAAAGCCCTGGAGGCCTCAATGTGCGGGATGAACCAGGTCGCCAACGAAGGAGAGCGAGTGAACCAGAAACTGAGAGAACCTGAGCCATCACCCCTGATCCAGCTGAGAATGATTGAACAATGGAACAAGCCGGAGGACCAGCAGCAGTGCCAGGTATGCAACCCCTTGCCATTCCAGAGCAGGGGATTAACCCTGGCCAACCCAGAGACATAAAACTACAAAGAAAGATCCCGCCCTTGGGGGTGAAATTTGATGGGGACCCCCAGAAATTGGGATTCTTTCTGGTGCAAGTCCTCACCTATATGCAAGAATATGGGCGGAACTTCCAAAGCCAGGGGGCCCGATTGTGAGTCGTCAACCTGGCCCTAGAAGGAGCAGCTGCCAGATGGATGGTAATCCTCCACAATGTTAACTCCCCAGAGCTGAGGAACCTTGATCAATTCATGACAACCCTATGCCACCACTTCGAAGACCCCCTCGCCAATCGAAAAGCCCGCAACCGCATTAGGGTCAAAAAGCAAGGTCGTTGCCCTGAGGAATTTCACAACCTGGCCGGCTGAGTTGACTGGCCAGAAGATATCCTAATCTGTTGGTTCAAAGATGGACTCAATGAAAACCTGTACAATACCTGCCTGGCCCCGTGGAGCTCCAAACATTCTGCATGAATGGTACCTGATGGCAGAGGAGGTGGAGATAGATATGTAACCAGTATCGCAGTGGCAGGGTTTGGAAAAGATCCCCATCCCAGGGGAAGCAGGAGTTTTTCAAACCTCAAACCACCATGACTACAAGACCATCTGGCTGTTTTAAGTGTGGAAAGGAGGGGCACACGCCACAGAATGCTGGAAAATCCAACCTCTGAGGAAAAGAAACTGCTCTGAGAAGCTGAGAAGCCATGAGGTTTCTGTCCCCTGCAAACCCAGAGGAAGAACCCCCAAAGCCCTGAGGAGACCTGAGCCAATCTGAAAGCAATCTGGAAGATGACCCGCTGGTAAGCGACCCAATCGAACCACTCACTCTACCCACAAGACTGTTTATCCCCAGCCAAGGGAAGGGGAAGGAAGTTGCAGCGCTATTGGATTTGGGATGCACCTGGTGCCTAATCAACCCTTCCCTAGTAGGGAACTTGGTAATCCACCTAAGGAAAATAGAAAACCTCATTGCTTTCTGTCAATTAGATGGAATTATAGTGGGGGTGGGGGAGCCAGCCAGTTTTGCCACAGAACTGTTGAAAATAGAACTGGGGAACCATAGTGAGATGCTCATGTTCATTGTAGCCCCAGGAATGGAAGGGCCACTAGTCCTAGGACTCACATGGCTACAGAAATGGAATCCAAAAATAAACTGGAAGAGAGGAACCGTACAGTTCCAGAAACATGTAGCATTTGCAAACATCCCAGAGGGGGGGAAAGAAAGAAAAGAGAACAGAGAACCAGCCATGACTGGCCAGCCGGCTGAACCCATTAACATCCCTAAAGAGTACCAGGATTTAGCCCAAGTATTTAGCAAGAAGGCTTCTGATGAACTCCCACCTCATCGCGCCACAGACTGCACCATTGAAATCCTACCAGGGGCTAAACTTCCAAACCCAAAAATGTATTGCATGTCCCCCAGAGAATTAAATGAACTCAGAGCATTTAGCGATAAAAATCTAAAAAGGGGTTTCATCGAACCTACCCAACCAAAAATAGCCGCAGTTTTATTCCGCAAAAAGATGGATCCTTACGCCTCTGTGTGTATTTTCGTACCATGAACACCATATCCGTGGAGAATATGTACCCACTCCCCCTCATGAAGGACATGCTAGCTCACCTCTCTAAAGGAAATTTTTTTTTCAAAGTTAGATTTAAGAGAGACATACTACCACGTCAGAATAAGAGAGGGGGATGAGTGGAAGACTGCGCTTAACACCCCACTGGGATGCTACCAATTTAAAGTGCTCCTTTTTGGACTACAAGGAGCACCTGATGTATTTATGTAACTAATTAATAAGGTTCTCCATGATTTTTTGTACAAAGGGGTTCTGCTTATCTCAATGACATTTTAATCTACACTGAAACAAAAGAGCACAATAAAGTTACTCTGAGCAGTTCTCACAAAACTCCAAAATGCCAAACTATATGCAAAACTTTTTATATGTGAGTTCCACCAAGAAAAAATTAACTACCTGGGATATAGAATATCCCATGAGGGAATAGAGATGGATCCACAAAAAGTAAAAGCTGTCATCGATTGGGAGCCGCCCCATACTTGCAAACAACTACAAAGCTTCCTGGGTTTTGCAAACTTTTACCATCAGTTCATTCCAGCTTTTGTGAATATCGCCCTCCCCATCACAAACTTGTTAAAAACGAAAGTGGGGGGAGAAGCCGAAGCCAAGGCAGCCCCTTACCTGGACGATGGAATGCAAAGCGGCATTCGAAAAACGTAAACACCTATTCTCAGCAGAACCAATCCTGAAACACCCAGACCCTGAACAACCATTTGTCAACCAAGCAGACACTAGCAATGTAGCAGTTGGAGCAGTTCTACTCCAAGAAAATGGATGTGGACAGTTACAACCATGTGCTTATACTTCCATGAAACTGACAGAAATCGAGCAAAGATGGGCCATATGGGAGAAACAGGCATATGCTGTGTGATGGACACTCCTCACATGGAGACATTTCCTAGAAGGGAGCCAAATCCCCTTTGAAGTCTGGACCGATCATAAAAATCTAGAAGCCCTGAAAACTCCACGTAAACTCTCAGAAAAACAAGCAAGGTGGGCTCAATATTTTAAACATTAATTTCACTCTCAAATATTCCCAGGGGAAAAAATTTCTTGGCAGATGCCCTGTCTAGGAAACCCCAATACAACAGCAAAAAGATTGAAGTTGTAAACCCATGATCCAACCAACCCAACTTGCAGCCAAAGTAATTACCCGAGCGCAAGGGAAGAAAGAACCACTGATTGACAATGCAACAACTTCCAAATTTAATGAGACTTCCGGTTTGCAAGGCTTCGGCAGCGGCAGGGATTCGTAGGGGCAGCTGAAGACAGGGGGGATCCGGATAGGGGTTTGGGGGTGTCGCAGACCCCCTCCCCAGCCGGCAAAACCCCCTTTTCCCAAGGTGGAGGAGCGGTGGTCAGTAATGGTCGCCACAAAAAACCCTGCAGCTGGATAAGATTGTGCAGGAGGAAGAAAGTCGGAAGAGTCGTGAAAGTGGTTTCTGACCAGGATAAAGTAAGAGAAAGTACCCTGGAATTTGAAAATTGACAAAGATAAATTGTTTCCAGAGAGAGTTACAAGCAGCGAATGGAATTCCAAAAGGGAAAGTTTATTTTTCTTTTTACTCTCCTTCCTAACGTGACAGCGGATGGAACTATAAGAGAAGAGAAATCGGAAAATCTGCATTGGAGGTAATTAAATGCTGAAGGGATAAGGATTTCTGAACATTTAAAAAAAATCCTTTTTGCTGTGAGTGGGAAGGGAGAGGAAAAAAAATTGGAGCAGTATTTGAAAATAAGGAGAAGATTGCCTAGAATTTTAAAGAGTTATTAAACATTAACAAGACTTCTAAAAGATATATTTTAAATGGAACTTTGTGATTAAATACTAACCCCAGAAAGTGAAAGTGAAGAAGGAGAAAGTACTAAAAAGAAACAGCTTATTTGGACTGCTTGGTGATTTTGGAACTTCTGAGAACTATCTTTGATTAAAAGTACTTGGGTGATTTTTTGGAAAAACTTTTTCTCTCCATAATGGCATCACTTGTGGATGGATTGAAACTTGAATATAAAAAATATAAAAAA